AGTGTTTCTGCGGAAAGTCAATGGGTCCAATAGGATAAATAATCTTCAACCTAGAATTCCGAATTAACTAAATACATTGATTTGTTGGAAAGGCTCTTCATATGTGATTTATGTGACTTTAGTACAATGTCCCCAACTCAACCCAAATAACAATTTAGTATTTGCCTTAATTTTCTGGCAGTATTTTCACAAAGTTCTTTTAAGAGTCTCAAATACAACCTTTGTTCTTAATACTACCTAAGATCATCGTTGATGTGTACTGGGACCATCTCTATGTCCTCTGTTCTTCCAATGATATTAAAAGGCAGGGTGTGAGGATTCATCAGCCTGGGACCTGGGACCTATAGTCAAGTCAAAAGCATGTTATATTGTTCATTTTGCTCATAAAATTAAAGAATGCAGAATTGTTTTTTGTCCTCATTGTTTTCTCCGAAGAGTGAGGGAGCATAACAATTATTAATATGAAATAACCTATATAATTGTGATTGATATAATAGGCACTTATTTGCTGTCCAGTCTTGCACTTCCATTCATTTATGGAATTTACCCAGGTTTCCTAGTGGCAACAATGCCTTCCTATTCTGAGCTCTGTGGTTTTAGACAGAAGTGAATTCAAGTATGGACTCACTCATTCTTCTTATTCCCAGACACTGATTAAAAGATGAGTAGGCAACTATAGGCTAGGAGCTTGGTCCTTGGGGAAAAAGAAACTCATTTCTTTTTCCACAGTAGCTTACCAGAAGAGACTCTCTCTTATGCTGTACAGTGTAGTATGAGGATGTGAAACTAGAATTGATGCAGTTATTTGTGCCTGAGTGAAAAATGGCCACATAGAACCCCAAAGAAGAAACCAGTATCTCAAAAGGTAAGACGGTGAAATGCCAGTGGAATCTCCTTTCCAAGCCAGGATTACCTGTGGATTTTCATTTGCATGGGTCAATATGCTGCTGTTGTTACTAGTGGCCTTTTGGGTATAATGATATATCCAAGAAATTGTACTTTAGAGAAAAAAATCAAACATTTCTTTAATTCTTTTATCATGGCAAAGAATTATTTAATATGACTTTAACCATAATAATTTGATACATGTAAAAGATATTATTATATAACTCTAATTAAATTCTACATAGAAGGTATCAAAACTTTTTAGGGCGAAACTGTCATTTAACAATATGAATTAAAAAGGCTTTTAAAATCTGTTACATAAAGTTACATAGAAAAATTTACTACAAGCCATTATCATTTAAGATTAGGATATAAAAAGTTATGACAATTATACTTTCTCATTTTATTAGGAACATGAATCAGGATGAGTAGGAAAGTACACAGAAAAGCACGTTGGTCCAACACACACACAAAATACATTTTTAACAAGAGTTAAACATAATTTTTTAAAAGTTGTTAGCTTTGCCCCTTTTAGTGCGGTTTTAGTTGATTTTTAAGTTATAAAAGTTAAAGTTAACGGAGATGTGTTTTTAAATTGTTTTGATATACCTTCAAAGTTATAAATGTTATAAAGTAGTCAATGTTAAAATATATTTGATAGTTTAACAATAAAGTTTTGCTTCCAGGGTAATGTTCTCACACTTTATAGCTTTAAGAATGTACTTCACTCATGGGAACTAAAAACTTTATGCTATGAGAAACTGAAGGGGGAAAGTTCAAAAGGTAGTCCATGACTTTTTTGGGGGGGGGATATAAGGGGTAGGGTTTAGAAAACAGATAAAACTGTTTGGATTATGTTGTTCTCTGATTTAGTAAAGAAAAATGCTAATGAATATAAGTTAACCTCAGGTTATCAACATTCTTGCTCAAGATAGATTTATGGTAAAAATAGACTACTGAACTGTCTTGTTAAATTTTTAAACATGAGTTTAGATGAGTTACAAATAACATCCTCTACCCTTAGGTCAAAAGGAACATGTAAACTCAAATTTTTTAGATAAGAAAACTTATTATAGTTTCAGCTTTTATACTTCCTGTTAAAATAACTTCGTAAGTATATACAATCTTGTTTTTATTCTGAACATATAAAATTCATTTTTTAAAACATGTAAAGTAACACAAGTTCATTTTATTTTCATTTTGAAATTTCTTAGAAGTACAAAGAGCAAATTACACCCAGAAATAACTTTTGTTAATATTTTGGTGTATATAATTTTTCCCTTTTTTTCCATGTGTGTGTATGTATGTGGATTGTGTGGGTTATTTAAAAATGGAGATTCTATTTTAGGTATAACTTTTACTTTTTATGGAACTCACGAGCATTTCCCATGTGATTAAATATGCTTCTAAAAGCAAAATCTGGATTTTGAAATAGCTACAAATATCCTTTTAGAAGTTTAACACACTCAGCATGCCAGGTATTAACACCACAGTCTTTTAAATAATTTCTCTATTGTGTATATTGCTGGTTTATAAAGTTCCTAAACATAGAAAGTGCCATGATAAATATCCTTACATGTAACTCTTTGATAATGTTATTATTTCCTTAAGATATGTGTTTAGGGTATGCAATGATTAAGCTTATTGATACCTATTTCTGACTTTATATCCATAATAGTTATACTGTTCTATAAGAGTTTTTGCTTAACTATACACTGACCACCAATATAAAAATTGAATACATATTTTTAAATCTCTCTTAATTAGTACATAAATTTTATTATTTCATCATTATATTTACTCCTAACTTTTTTATTAAAGACAATTATGTCCATCAGTGGATCATACATCTATGGGACATTTACACAATGAAGTGCTGTTCAGCCGTAAAAAAAACATAGTTTATTCTTTGAGACAGTATGGATGGACCTGGAGAATATTTTGCTAAATGCAAGACAAATATCGTATGATTTTACTCATATGTGGAATCTAATGAACAAACTGAACTAACAAGGAAAACAGAGACAGACTCATAGACGGAGAGCAGGCTGACAGCTCAGGGGGCGGGGAGGTGAGGGGGTGAAGGGATTGAGCAAAAGGGAAAAAGGACTCATGGACGTGGACCACAGAGTGGTGATTGCTGGGGAAAGGGGGTATAAAGAGACTAAATGGTAACTGAAAAAAACCTGCATTAATTTTTTTTTAACAGTAAAGTAAGATAATTACAGAGGTTTCTGATCCCCATAGCTCTTTGCCTGAGCCTCACACCCCCAAGAGGGGAAAAAATTATTTTAACTGTTCCTTCTGGTGTCTAACTATTTCTAAATAATGTGGTTATAGGTTTTGTTTGTTCCATCTACTTTAGGCATTATCTCTGGACTGTTATGGAAGAGGAAGAAATAGCACGCTAATTCCTATCTCCCTATCCTACCAATATGTTTATACATTATTTGAGCATCATTTTGTGTTTTCTTGCCAGAGTCTCCGCACACATGGAGGACTCCATCTTCTTGTTCCAACCTGGGCTGCCTGCTCTCTAGGCTTATTCTGTGCTGTTCATCAGGGAATCTTCCTTGGCCTCTCCTGTGTTTAATTCCTATTTCTTGGATCTCATGTCTTCCTTTTCTTGCTGTTCTCTGATACTCTAAACATCAAGAGTGCAGCAAGACCAGCATTCACTCATTCAGTCCAGAGGCTCTCCAGCGTCCTGCCTGGGAAGCTGGCTCCCTCCTCAGCTTCAGCTTCTTCAGTGCATATACCCTAACCTACGGTTTTTCCTTCCTGCTGCATAGGCACCACTTACCCATCTGATTTCCATATTCGAGAAATTTGTAAAAACCTCTGCTGAGAGCCCCAGGCCCATACTCTTCACGTGGGTTTATAGCTTTCATATTCCTTTATTGTCATGATAAATGGGAGCTATGGAAGTGGGAAAATATGCGCTTTCTTGACATAGAAAGCCCATTTCATTAACTTAAATATTTTATTGACTCCCCACCCAACTGTATTAGTGTCTTTTTGATTCTTTTGGTAATCTCTTCCAGTTAACTGCTTCCGTTTGTAGGTGATGAAATGTGTAAGGAATCCACTTCAATTGTTGGCTGTGCTGTGAGCATGGTCTTTCCCTTTATTTCAACTCAGAACTAAGACTTTTGATCCTGTTTTTTATATTCCAGCCCAGAAGTAGTTTTCACTGTAGAAGTTATTTGAAGAGATTCTTATCCTTTATCATAGTGACGTGCAACCAGGCTCTAGTTTCTCCAGAAACACTATACAGGATAAATAGATATTAAACTAAGAGACATTCTCTCAAAGAGTTTAAATGCATTTTATTTTTAAACAACCTACATGATGTGCTTTTCTTAAAAACAATGCCCCTGCTCCAAATAAATCAAGGTCAGAATAAATGAAGGGCTCAGGATAACACCAGTTCCATTTGTCCTAGTCCTGGTGTGTGGATAAAAAGCAGCAGCATTTTTCCATTTCTAAGCCATCCATAAAGAAAATCATCCACGGGGTCGCAGCACCTTCCCAGCAGTCCCGCAGGGCAACCACGCCACCTGGATGCATGTTCTCGCCCATCAAGAACCGGTAGTTTCAAAATTAGCAAGGACATGCTTGATTTGTTCTGCGGCCCCTGCCATAAAAGGTTTTAGTCTTTCTGGTCTGGGTTCTTCAAGTTCCTCTTTGATTTCCTGTAATCTGTGATGTAGCTCCTATAGGCTTCTTTTGTGAAGCTGGTTTCCTGCAAATGGGAGTGCCTTACAGTATCCACAGCTGTGACTACTGTACTTTCAGAACCTTCACACCCTCCAGGCCCTCAGCGAGGCATTGCCACCAATGAGCGAGACATCAAAGGCACCTCTGTCCTACTGACCATCCTCCCCTCTACCTCTAGATATGGCCTGTCTGTGATCTCCAGAGTTTTATAGATATCAGAGGACATTTCATCATGGCTGCTGAAGTCCCGGTAGATGACTGAGTTCAGAGCCAGCCACGGTCCTGCCAAATAAAGTGATGGCAGGGGCAGGGGGAAAGGCGGAGGGGGAGGGGGAGGGGCAGAGGGGGCGTCAGCAGGAAAGCTATTTCTTGTCTTTAAAGAGAGGAAAAAAACCATACTTACCCAGCAAGGAAGATACCGTGATCACAAAGGTGGTGTTCCCAGAATGAGGCTTATCCATTGCACTCTGGATGTGCTGACCCTTGCGATTTCCCCAAATGTGGGAAACTCCACTGCATCGTTTGTGGTAGGGGGCACTGCGTTTGCGCCCTCCCCTGGGAAAAATATCCAAATGTTACAGAAGTACCAAAGTCGCCCATCCTTGCTTCGACCCACGTAGGGAAAGTGTTGCTTATCCAGCATAGTGAAAGGGTCAAACGTTGGAAAGAATCAGGGAAATCAGGGAAAGAGATGGACAGGACAAGGAAAGATAGTTTTTCTATAGGGCTGGTAGTCTAAAGGCTCAGTGTTCCATGTAAACCAGGCAAATCAGGAGAAAATAAAGTTCCTTGTATCTAAGATCCCAACTCCTGTGTTGATTATACATTCTCAGCCGAACGATATCATTCGTTTCAGTGGAGCAGGAGAAAGCAATGGCAATGGAAAAAAGGAAAATAATGATAGAATTTTCTTAGTCTTTGAACATGCAACATTGGCAACATGCTAGATTCATTCTATTAATTGCATCAGCCACATCTTATAAACACATTTCCATGGGCCATATGTAATAGGCCTTGGCTCCACTCACTGCATTTATTGACTCCTCAGATTGCTAACATATAATTTTTTTCACATCATTTTCATCAAATAAATTTTACTTTAACTTTTATGAGCATATTTAAAACAGAAACATCTCCCCAAATGGTCTGGGTCTCCAAGTGGCAGAAATTTTATGTGCTTCACATGTGAACTGCCTTCACATGAAGATCTCCGACAACATAGGCACTAATCACGCCCACTTACTGTTCTGGTTCAGATGTTTGCTCAGTATATGGAACCTCAGCCTAAATAGAAATTGAGTTGAGCATATACATACATTGTGGCTCAAGCAGTGTATTTTTTGGAGTAATAAACACAATTTTGTTCCTAATTGGAGGGAAATGATGCTTGGAATTGAACCTATTGCCTTCCTGAAATTGAAGTCTAGAGCACATGGAGACATTCCTCTCTACCAAGCGCATTCGTTAGTAGAAACAATCCACATTGAGTCCTTCTTGTGGAAGGCAGAGTTCTGTGGAATTTACTGAAAATGGAAAATAGATTACATTGTGCACAGAGGACATTTATATTTATATAAACACTTTAGATAAGATGAGACTTTTAAAAGCCAGGGAAAATATCACCTTTAGGGGAATTTCAGAAAAATGTTGTAATCTTTTTTATTTTTAATAGGCATAAAAAGGATTGTTATACTGATATTGACAGAAATTAGGTGCTTCGTTGATGATTTTAACTTAAAAGGATGAATTGCTCTAACATTGGTTTAGAATTTTTCTTTACTATATACAGTTCAATTTTGTGGTCTGGCAAGTGACCAATAGCCATTTATCTAGTATGCATACCTTTCCACAGCTGGATTTTCAAATATGATTATAGAGTTCATGTGACAGAACTATCCTGAAAATAAATATGTCAGCAGGCTTTGCTTTATTTTATGCATTTATTCTGGATGTAACATAACTTTATACAAATACAGACGACACCCTAAGACATTCTGCCAGAGCCATTCAAGTGTAGCATCGTCTGAGACTGTGGAAGGTGATTTAGAAACACCTGCATTGAATATTTATATCCATGCCTTAAGTCTTAAAAGTCTTGCAGTTTTATAGTCCTTTTGGGGAAAGACAGGAACTACATTAACACTTGTTAGTGTAACAGTTACTGCACTGCTGAGAAAGACTTTGTACAAAATTGGAAAATTATGCAAAAACATATTTAGGAAAGATTAAAAGGAACTAATGTTTTATCAGCCTTTATAGGTTGAGGAATATATTTTTTAGAAATGTATCTTTTATTTTTTAGGTCTTGAAGAGAAAATGCATTGGAATAAAATTCTAAATATCATATTCAAATGAGCAGCATTGTCTATAGTAGCATTTAACAGACTGTAGTTAAGAGACCCAGCTAATGTCCTAACAATAATCAGCGAGGTATTCTGCTCAAGTTTGCTCTATGTGGTCCTCCTGGGATCTCTGTCTCCTGAATGTTATTTCCACACTCCCCTCCTTCCCTCTATGTGGTCCAACTTGATACCACACAAGACAAAAAGCTTACTTAATCTGATAGAATATGAGCTGATAGACGGCTAAGGAGAAGAACAATAAAGTTTCTTCCTCTCTTTACAAGGAACACGTTAACATTTAACACCCAGCATCTGGAGAAGCTCCTCCACCTTTCTTGTCAGGAGCAGTAATTTTTGGCTGGTGCAGTAGGAGTGCTGCCCTGGAGCCGGTGACATCAGCGTGTTTTTCAAAGTGGGAAGTTTTACAGGCTAAGAGAGAGTGCATTAGCCACAGGAAGTGCTGGACTTTTGAAAAAAGCCCCTCCCCCCACGAGATAATCTTTAATAATAACAATAACAAGAATCATTGCTAACATATCTGAGTACTCACTCTAACTGGGCATAGACTAGATTACATACATTATCTCATTTAAATCTCCTAACAATCCCATTAGGTAGATACTTGTGTTATCCCATGCTCCTAATGATAGATGGATATCATCGATATCAGTGATCTATTGTGATTAACAAACTACCTCCAAAATTGGTGGCTTAAAATATCAACCCTGAATGGAACTCGTGATTCTGCAGACAAGGATTTGGGGGAGGGGTTTCATTGGAAGGTTGTTAGTCTTGACCAGGTTTGGATGATTTGGCAGAGTTCTGTGAACTTGTGATGAGCTGGTGAGTCCGTTGGAGCCTTACTGATCTATAAAGGACTTAGCCGTGACAACAGGGCCTCTCTACAAAGTCTCTCATTCTCCAGCCTGCTAGTCCATGTGGTTGTCTCGAGTTCCAAAAGCTCCAGAATGGAAGCTGGAGACCATTTGAGGCCCAGGCTTGGAAATAGCACAACCATCTTATTTCTAGCGTATTCTGTTGCTCAAGAAAGTCACAAAGTCCCCTAGGTGTCAAAGAGTAGGGAAATTGCTCCTCTGAAGGACTTTCATTGTGAATATTTTTGCATTCTACTACTTTTTTTGAATTGGAGAGAGGTGTCCTGACTTGCCAAATATCATAGAGTTAGTAACTAAACTCTCATACACTGCTGGCAGGAATTGTACAGCCACCTGGGGAAAAGAGTTTGGCATTTTTTTGAGTTGTTTGTCCCCTTATTATTAAATTTTAAGAGTTCTTTATATATTCTGGATACAAGTTTTTCGCCTGACATATATATTGTACAGATTTTCTCCCAGTTCTTGGCTTGAGTTTTCATTTTTCTTGATGGCGTTTTGTTTTAAAGAACAAATGTTTTCATTTTAATGAAGTCCAATTTACCGATTATTTTCTTTCATGTCCTGTGCCTTTGGTGTTTTGTTTAAGAGTGAATAAACGAATGGGAAGCAGTTGAGAAATGTCAAAGGGTAGCTCTAGCAATAGAAGGGTGTAGCCTGAAGCGGTGCAAGTGATTTGTTTAAAAACAAATTTTGCATTCTATTTAATAAACTCACTTGCCTTAATATAAAATGTAATTCTTTACATATGAGCAAGTTTATCTGATGCTCCAAGGTAAAAGCCCACGTTTAGCCCGTGGCACAGGACATAAGAACTCCAGGTTGAGGATCATAGAACTGAATGGCCCCTTGCCTCACAAACTAACATTATTATCCATAATGAGTTTCAATACAAATAAAAGTAATAAGGCTAAAATTAAAGGGGGAATTGCCTTAATCTTTTCTGACCATCGGCTAGATTAACTTTCTATGTAGATTCAACTCTTCAACTGCTTAAATATGTCTAAGCTACTAATAAACCTTCCAGAATGAATAGCAGATGAACAACTGAATATAAATGAAAACAGATGCCTCAAAGAAGAGGATCCAGAATTGTCATCAGCTCTTCACAATCACTACATGTTTTCTCTAACAAGCTCACATGCCCACAACACATTGCCAAAGTTTATTGACTTCTTCCAAAATTTCTGTATGAAATTATGATTATGATCTCATGGAGTTCAGGATTACTGACTACAGAGCACGCCTCCTCAGGATGTTTTTTCAAAGGGGCTGGTACCCCCAGGAGTGCTGGGGGAGGGGGACGCACATGCGTTTGAGGACATGACTAGCCTAACCCCTGCTGTATGATCTCAGAATCTTCCAAAGTTTGACTCCTTTCAAATCTGAGGATCTGGAGTCCCTCCAGGATCCAAAGACACAAGGCAAGCAGAAAAGGATACCCACTGACCTCATATTTGGTATCCACATTCTTGTGCCTTTAAGATATATATTTTTTAAATTGACCTATTGAAATACCAATATTCCTATGAATACATGTACATACTTTCACAATAAAGGTATTCATGATATATGAGGAAAGATGGGTTCTCGGACAACATAAAACATAAAATAACATAAAGCAATGGTTTCTGCTCTAGAGGTATTTGCTTTCAATTTAGTGTCTGTTTAAATGTATGTAGAAAATATGTTTAAGAAGTGATAATATGGTGATGGTAGCACAACAATGTGAATGAACGTAATGCCATTGAACTGTATTAAAAATGGTTAAAATGTTGTTTTGCATTATTTGAATTTTACCACAATTAAATTATTTAAATTAAAAAAAAAGAGAGAAACGATAGTAAGTTAGATGGTAAGTAACTGAATGTGGCAGCTAAGGCTAATTTTATTATCCTCATTGGACAAACCCTTGAAGACAAAAATGCATTTCATACCTTTTTTCTACACATACATCATAGTCATTTGACTTCTTAAATTATCTCATGGATCTATAGCCTTGATTCCACCTATCATTTTTTTCTGACTCCTTTTCTGACGAAAACTGTTGATTTTCAAAGACAGCTTAAGAGCAGGCCGAAATGTTAAGATACACATGCACAGAGCTGCCAGGATGCACAGGAGCGGGAGGCGAGGGAGTGGCGACAGTGAAGAAGGGATGGGGTTATCAGGAGCATCAGTTAATTACTGTTATTATTATTATTATTTTGCATAGAAGCAGATCTGTGCTAAAATATAGACTTATTACAACAACTGCTAAAATGATGGTTCATTTTGATAGGAAAATATCAATCTCAAAAGCTGATTTCAGACAACGGTTCACCAAGCAGAATCATAACAATTATCTATGCTTTTTATGTACTTATTTTCCTGATTGCACTAATTACATGAAACATTTGCTAGCACTCTGTGTAATGTATCGTAACATGTGACTAGAATAAAGGCAAGTTGTTAGGGTTTAGTACCTAAAGTATTTGAAAATGCTTGGTGCTCATTTGTTCATTTGCAATGATTTCTGGCTTCATGGCATGAATGCCATTTGGTCCTGGAATCGAATAGCTCACTAGGTTTGCACAGTTGTTGAAGTTTATGTATTATGTAGGAATATATTATCATTGCATAAAATCTTAAAGCACAGGTTCCTTTGAAAAAATCACCATTGAATTTAAAAGCAGTTCTTGAATTATACTTGGAAATGTTCTTAATTGTGAAGGAATGTGCATCATTAACATAAATGGCTAATTTTTTTTCGGATTAAAACTTAATTCATTTTTTTAGTTTAAAATATAATAAATATTTCTGTCTCCCGAAGACAACCTTTATAATACAAGTTCTCTTCTGGGTTTTTTAAAGTTCATTTTGACATAACTGTAACCATACTGTATACAGTTTATATCCTGCATTTTAAATATAAAATCAAACAAGTTTATCAAAATTTCACGCATATAATTAAATATTCCAAGTGACTGTGCCATTATTACTTTAATGCTGTAATACTGCACACTTGTTTGCTGTTACAAAAATGCTCTCATGAACACCTTACTACATGACATTTTCACAAATTTCAGATTGTGTTTTTTTACTTTAGAGTATCAGCCAGGGTTCACCAGAGAAGCAGAACTGGTAGGAGATGTATATTAAGAAATTCATGGCAAGGAACTGACTCACCTGCTTCTGAAAGCCAGCGAGGCAAGTGTGGGATCTGGTGGGAAGGCTGCCAGACAGAGCAGTCTGGAACTCTCTGCAGTGGGCTGAAACTGCTGTTCCGCAAGCAGGATTTCTTCTTTTGGGAGGGCTCAGCTGCATTTGAGGCCTTTTAACTGATTGAATAAGTCTGTGGGACTTATTCAAAGGATAATCTCTTTTACTCACAGTCAAATGATTATGGACTTTAATCACATCTACAAAAATACCTTCACAGTAACACCTAGATAAGTGTTTGTGAATAACTGGGAACTGTAGCTTAGCCAGTTTGACACATCAAAAGACCGTGAGGGTTACAAGTTCAGAAGTAGAATTATTGAATCAAAGAAAATAAAATTTAAAAAAAAATCTGATACATATATTCAAATTCCTTTTCCTAAAGGGTCATTACAATCTTCTGCGCTTTCCCATTTTATCCCTGCCTTTCTTTGGGTTAGGAACTAGACTGCCTACCCTACTAGACTATAATAAAAGTTCAGAGTGCCCCTAAAATAAGAAGGTATGTACTAGTGTCTCAAGATAAGCACATTTCCTGGCAGCAAGTTTTGAAGAACCCTGCTTTCCCAGGATACTTGGTCTGCCTCCTCCCTGCCAACACCTAGCCCCCACTGGGTGAGCCTCACTGAGTAACTGCCCAGACCTATTTATGGGTGGGGATATTAATTTCTGTTTATTATTTACTCTTTATAGGAAATGTGTTAGACATATGGTGGGGTGAGATAGAAGTATTAATCATGTTCTCAAAAAGTCTAAAGTTAATACGGTAATCATAAAATAAATATTTGACGCTACATTCATGTTAAAGTTCACATGTATATATTTCTCTAGCAAACACAGCTAAATCGTGTCTTTAAATTCCTCATAACTGTACATAAATGGCACACCTTTGTGAAACTCCTTGTTATTTTGTAGATCTGGGTAGAAGTCCCATCTTGCTATATCTTTAGAAACCTTATCATCAGGCAGAGGTTGGTGAAGTGATTAATTTGGATGGATTTGGTGATAGGATTTTCTGTTGTCGTTGAATTCTTTTGTGTGTTTTTCTTTTCTTTTTAAAGATTTTATTTTTTAAAGAGAAAGGAAGGGAAGGAGAAAGAGAGGGAAGAAACATCATGTGCAAGAGAAACATCAATGGGTTACCTCTTGCAGGTCCCCACGCCCCCAGTAGGGGACCTGGCAGGCAACCCAGGCATGTGTCCTGACTTGGTCAACCCAACATGCCGTGGTTCCGGATGAGTCCAACAGACTGAACCATACCAGTCAGGGCTGGGATTTTGGTTTGTTTGGTTTTTTCCAGTTTCATTCTTAGTTCTACTTATGTACTAGTTTTTGAAACCTGAACAAATAACTTAATCTCCCTAAGCCACCTCCTTCTCACTTATAAAATGGAAATCATACTCTATCGTGTGAAGACTAAATGAGCCAATACATATAAAAACTATGCTATACATGCTGACACATAATGTATTTGTATGCGCATGTGTCTGAATAGCTCCCTTTCATGTTTTGCTTTCTTTCTGTCCCCCAGCCAGGACTGCAACATTCAAATAATTTAGGGGTGAGGCAGGATGGGAAGAACCTACAGAAACTCCTTGACGAGTGGAATAAGGGAAACTGAGACAAAATAATTAAACAAGGCCAAAAAACTTGAGCAATTTACAATCTTCTAAGGAATCACAAAGTGGTTCCCCCCCCCACCCCCCAGCAGAACCGCCTAGGTCCAGTTTCTCTTCGATGACGTTCTTGCTGACGGTCTCTAAAAATGAAACTAATCTCTTGATGACATTCTTTAGAAATGAAACTAACCAGCCTTCACCCAGGGCGGTAAGTGCAGAGAGGGCAGAGTGTGTACTCTGGGCTTGGAACACACATTTATTTTTAAAAAACTCCAAAAAACAAAATCTTAAAATATCTTTTAACCGCTCCCACAAGTTACAAGACAGCCGCGTCTCCCCCGCCGTAGACTTTTTGTTTTTCTTCCTTTTTATCAAATAACCCGGTGAAGCAGCCGAGACCGACCCCTCCGCGGCCCGCGCAGCAGCTCCAAGAAGGAACGAAGAGACCGAGGCCTCCTCGCTGCTCGGACCGAGAAGAGACCGCCACCCTCGCTCCCCCGCTGCAGCCGACAGCCAGCGACCACCGGCAGGGGATCGACCCCGCTCTGCGGCTGTTGAGTAAGTAGCTTTATACTCCGGTTGATTTGTGTACCGCGGCGCTTGCCCCCCCCCTTCCCGCCCCCACCGCTCTTCTCCTGCCCTCCCCACCCTCCTCCTCCCCTTCCCCCCTCCTCCTCCCCTTCTCCCCTCCTCCCCTCCTCCTCCTTCCCTTCCCCCCACCCCACTCTCCTCCCTCCTCCTCCCCGTCTTTCCCCTTCCCCTTTGCAGCCCTGGCCCCGTCGCAGCACTAGCTCTCCTCTTCTTGCGGAAAGGTCGTGACCTGTGGCCCTGCGGGCAGCCTCGCGGAGATGAACCCCAGCGCCCCCAGCTACCCCACGTCCACGCTCTACGTCGGGGACCTACACCCCGACGTGACGGAGATGATGCTCTACGAGAAGTTCAGCTCGGCCGGACCCATCCGCGCCGTCCGGGTCTGCAGAGACAAGATCACCCGCCGCTCCCTGGGCTTCGGGTATGTGAGCTTCCAGCAGCAGGCGGACGCGGAGCGTGCTTTGGACACCATGAATTTTGATATTGTGAAGGGCAAGCCACTTCGCATCATGTGGTGTCAGCGAGATCCACCGCTTGGCAAAAGTGGAGTGGGCAACGTATTCATTAAAAATTTGAACAAATCCATGAACAAAAAAGCACTGTATGATACATTTTCTGCTTTTGGTAACATCCTTTCATGTAAGGTGGTTTGTGACGAAACTCGTTCCAAGTGTTACGGATTTGTACATTTTGAAACACAGGAAGCAGCTGAAAGGGCTATTGAAAAAATGAATGGGGTGCTTCTAAATGATCGCAAAGTATTTGTTGGACTATTTAAAGCTCCCAAAGAACGAGAAAGAGAACTTGGGGCTAGTGCAAACAAGTTCACCAACATTTGCATCAAGAATTTGGGAGAAGACATGGATGATGAGCACCTTAAGGATCTCTTTGGCAAGTTTGGACCTGCCTTAAATATGAAAGTGATAGCTGATGAAAGTGGAAAATCCAAGGGTTTTGGATTTGTATGCTTCGAAAGGCATGAAGATGCACAGAAAGCTGTGGATGAGATGAATGGAAAGGAACTCAGTGGAAAACAAATCTACGTTTGCCAAGCTCAGAAAAAAGTGGAACGGCAGGCAGAACTTAAGCGCATATTTGAACAGAAGAGGCAAAATAGGATCACCAGATACCAGGGTGTTAACCTTTATGTGGGCAATCTTGATGATGATATTGATGATGAACGTCTCCGAAAAGAATTTTCTTCATTTGGTACTATCACTAGTGCAAAGGTGATGGTGAAGGGCGGTCACAGCAAAGGGTTTGGTTTTGTATGTTTCTCCTCACCAAAAGAAGCCACTAAAGCAGCTACAGAAATGAATGGTAGAATTGTGGCTACCAAGCCGTGGCATGTAGCTTTAGCTCAGTGCAAAGAAGAGCACCAGGCTCTCCTCACTAACATGTATAGGCAGAGACTGGCAAGTGCGAGAGCGATGCTCAACCCCAAACTCAACCCCTACCAGCAAGCAGCTGACCCACTGACTCAGAGGCGTGCTGCATACTATCTGCCTAGCCAGATTGCTCAAAGAAGACCAAGTCCTCGCTGGACTGCTCAGGGTGCCAGACATCGTCCATTCCAAAATATGCCCAGGGCTGTCCGCCCAGCTGCTCCTGGACCACCGTGTAGTACCATGAGACCAGCTTCTTCACAGGTTCTACGAATCATAGCGACACAGCAGGTTGCTAACACATCAGCAAAGACAAAGGGTTCACGCCCTGCAGCAGCAGCTGCTGCTGTTGTCGGCGCTGTTCCACAGTACAAGCATGCTGCAGGAGTTCGCAGTGGTCCACATCTTAACACACAGCCACAAGTTACCATGCCGCAACTCCCTGTTCACCTACAAGATCAGGAGCCTTTGACTGCTCCCATGTTGGCATCTGTCCCTCCTCAAGAGCAAAAGCAAATGTTGGGGGAACGGCTCTTTTCTCTAATTCAAGCCATGCACCCTACTTTTGCTGGTAAAATCACTGGCATGTTGTTGGAGATCGAGAATTCAGAACTTCTTCATATGCTTGCGTCTCCAGAGTCTCTCCGTTCGAAAGTTGATGAAGCTGTAGCTGTACTACAAGCCCACCAGGCTTAGGAGGCTGGCCAGGAAGGAGTTAACAGTGCCACTGGCATACCTTCTCCAAGGCCCTCTTTTTTTTTTTTTTCTGATTTCCCAGTGAGCTCACTTCTTTTACTGTGACTTCTATTTCTTAGAGAGCCAAAGCAGCCAGTGCCTAGGCTCTTTCCTGTTCCTCTGTTCCTTCTTCTGTCTTAAGCCCGTCCTTTGTTTCACTTTCCCCACCTTTAATAAACATACTCTCAAAATCACCTGGGCTCCTGTTGTGAAATCTTTCCTGCATGAGGTCAAGAACCCACATGCTACCGGCAAGCCTAAAGCAGACCCCCTCTGGGTCCAGACACTGTAGAGTAATGGGCAGGACAGAAAGTGGAACTGGCTTGAAATCGTTCTTACATTGTTTCAAAGCCTCAGATGTTCAGAGGCCTTAGGTTTTGAAGTAAGCAGGAAGAGGGGGTGTATAATTTGAAGACAGTGCCTTAGAAAAACATACAGGAACAAATGCTCCTCTGGGGTACACAGAAGGTCCCCAAAGCTGAAGGAGAAGAGGGGGCCTGTGGATCCTGAGAACAGAGGTATTTACATGCTTAGTGGAAGGGGCTGAAAAGCTGGGACTCCCAAGAGGACAGCGACTGCAGAGCATCCAGCAGGGGCACCTTAGTAACTGTCACAATAGATTCCCAAGGAGGTGTAAAAGCCCCGAAGATCTGCCAAAGCCGAAGGAGTCACACACAGCCATATAGGGTCAAGGGACAACTCTGGTCATTGCCAGGACGGTTGCAGATGGCCAGACGTCCTTGGTATCACTCCATGTGACCCAGAGCTAAAGTCTCTCTCTGGGTTGGCCAGGGATAGACTGACAACACTGGTAAGTTTCACAGTAGCCCAGAGGGGTGGGGCTTGGAAATTGAAGTTAGGATTGATTAGAAGAAAATAAAGGAGTGAAGTACAACTTAATTTGTAACCCGAGATTCGCATCCCAGACACAAGCAAAAACGTGTCCTTAATGATGAAGATTTAGCTATTGATATGAAAAGGGTAGAAAAAGGAACATCCTCTGACTGGTATTTCTCAGTTCTTCCTTTATCAGTCAGTCGTATCTAATTTCAAGAATTTTGTGTCTTTCCACTGGCGTTTGTCTCCAAACATGCTAAAAATCCTTCTTATCCTCAAACCACCACCAGTTTGTCTTGATCCAACCACTTACCAAGTTCCTGTATCCTTCCTTCCTTTATTATCACATTTTTTTGTTTGCATACTCATTTATTTATCTTTTTGTTTCCCTTTTAAAAAAATTTTCTTAAATGCACCGAGGCGACATTGGTTCACATTTCTTACAACACACTTGATGTGCCCACTTTCTTAACTCCCATGAGCTGCTCAACTGATTAGAGCTTGGCTTTTATTCTCTTCCTTAAGGAAGTAGTAAAAGTAGGCCAAATCCTAACAACTTTTTGTTCTGCATCCTCTATAACCCCTGACTACCATTTAACACTGTATGCCAGTCCTTTGTCAAAAAGACTTGTGAGACCATCTGGTGAAAGAGGAATGGCATTGCACCAGGCCATTCCTCTTTCTCGCACTTCCTACTTGGATAGGAAGCTCTCATTTCTATCACAATTAGAATGCTTAATAAACCCTGATTAATTTTCTTGTTGTTACCAGATTTCTATATTCTAGTCATAGCTCCCACTGTAAACCAAAGCCAGTCATGTGCATATCTCTCCCATAAAGTTCTCTATTGTCTTCCATTCCTGTCTCTTAGCGCCCTCCGGGGGAAATCAGAGCACCTTGTATCAGGGTTATCTCTGAGGGTGACTCCTGCAGTAGCAGAATCAGCACCCCAGCACTCCTGGGAGCTTGCAAAGCCAAGCCTTGGGTCCCCGTGGAGACCTGCTGAAGGCAAAACTCTGTGGCCCAGTGATCGTGGCTCCAGGTGATTCTGATTCGCATTAACGCTGGAGGACCACTTCCCCACCGGAAGAACCTTTCTGTTCTGGCTGTGACCAGACGTGGCAGCTTCTCCTGTGTTTGAATCCTTCCTGAACCTGATGCTCCCTTCTCATGGAGCTTCTGTTCCTGCAGGTGCCAGGCGTTCAGACTGTCCTTTCCCAGCGTGTGGAATACCACATTTGCATTTTTCTTTTCTTTTTTTGGCAAATTGATGTTATTCCTTTGACATCCCTGTCAAGGGCTTTGAGGACTCTGACCTCCCTCAGGAAACACGCTTGCCCTGCCCTCCGCCAGCATTGCGTTCACACCTGTAACAGCAGTTACCGTGCTACATTTTCCTTTCCCTCTCTGTATCCCATTTTCTTCTGAAGACTGTGAGTTGCCTAGGTATATAGACTATGCTTTGTTCATTTATATCCCCCTAGCGGCCCAGTTTGCTGTTTGTCTCTCTCTTTTTTTTCCTTTTGCTCTCTCCTTACACAAGGATTTAACACAGTTGAAAAATGTTTTTGAAATGAAATATTTCTACCCAGCACCGAAATGGTAATCAAGAAGCTTGGCAACCATGACAGCTTTGTAAAGGTCTTAATCACATAGCAGAATAATCGATTTCTTACTGCTCTTTTGTCCACCTGCATCCATAAAATGGCAGTAATTATTCGAGAAGCAGGTTGATTCTTTTCATGCTCTTCCCATGTTATTCTATTTTTTATATGTCTCACTAGGCCCCTTTATACAACTTCCTATGTGACCCCAAGATTCTGACAATAAATACATATTTTCCAGGTGATTTTTATCTGCTATTCAAAAATCCTATTGTTTTAAGAGCAGATAGTTCAACTCTCTCTCTCTCAAAAAAAAAGTCTGATTTATATCCTCAAGTGAAGGCACACTGTGTGGGGGAAGGGAAGGAACTGGGCAAAGGAGACTCCATCGTTACCTCCTCAGGGTTTGGACTCTGTTTTATGGCCGCTTTTACTAAAATAGAACCCTCTTTCTTTTCTTGGATTTGATTTCATTATGATGGACATTTAGAAGAAAGAGGAAGCGGAGGAGGGAAAGGAGAAGAGGAAGAGGAGAGGAAGGAGGAGGAGGAGGAGGAGGAGGAGGAGAAACTTTACTCCAGAGAGCTTCTCATGATTTTGTTTCCAAGAAATGCCATGGTCATCTGAATGGCCAAGGTGTTGTTAGGTGGCCTGCAGAATAATTGAGGAAGTACAGTTTCTCCTCTCAAGGATCTTAATATGTTAATAACCACAATCTCCCCATGAAGGAGACTTTTTGGCACGTGTTCACTGATAAGACACCTGGATTTAGCTTACTCCATATGAAAGTATGTATTAGTTTACCCAAAATGACACCTGCTATTTGCTATTTGTAGATGAGTTTGGGGTAGTTTTGTTATTACTAATGACTCACTGCAAGTCTCTTTACCTTCCTGTAGCTTAGGGTTAAACTGTTTAGTAAATAACTTCACCAAAGCACCTAATTTAACTCAATTGTTTAAAAACTTAATACAGTTTCAACTGGTCATTGTAGTTTCACAGAGAGAATCATGTGCCTTTTTTCCTCTTGAGAAATGAAATTGAAGAATAACATCAAAATAGATTATTTTAATTACCAATAAAGTAGGTGGAAACATTTTTGATTAGTATCTAAAAAAATCAACTAATAATTTTTAAACGGACTTTTTATCTCATTACCAAGTATTTGATATTTCTTGATTGCTTCCACAGATTTATTTTATATAATGTGTAAAAACCACATCTGCAAAGCCAGAAGCACAGTGGCTTATTAAATGTAATTTTCATTGTCTTTGAAAGTGACAGATTTTTGACAAAACTCTGAGTTCACTCTTAACTATTATAGCAGTTTATTTTCCAATAACATTGTAATTCCAACTTGACACGCTGGTAAATGTGGATATTTAGTTGTGAGCTAAATCTCCAAAATCTTTAACTGTTCAATTTCCTTCACTGTGGAGAAAACTCAGGGTCAACCTGTAGCAGCTTCTTATGGAAAAGAAACAGAACTGTTACAATACTTTGAACTCTAGATAGAAAACTTCATGTGTTTCTGATGTTCCATTTCAAGATAATAACAATGGATCTATTCTTTAAGGAATACATAAAACTAAAGCTTTTTGAGCCAGTGCATCTACGAAGAGGATACATTTGGAGACCAGTTGCTTGAGGTGCTGATGTGTTGCCCATATGCCTCAATTTGCTGTAATGGGCCACTGAGGTCATATAATACAACACTTTTCTCCCTTAAGGCTTTGAAGAATCTTCTTGCCTTCTGTGTCAAAGGCAGGCAGAATCTCATCCTGCAACAAGGCTCTTCCCTTGAACTCCTTAGCCTCTCCCAATGGCCAGAAGTTGTTAACCAGCTATCATAAATCTGTCTTCCCTGAGCTATCCAAATGTTTGCTCCAAATTTTGCCTCTTATGGTGGTATATCTGTTATTATTCTGAAGCAAGAGAATGAGCAGTTTCATCCCGTATCTGTAAAGTTGTCTGTGTGGGAAGGAAAGAGCGTAGCAGTTTGTCCCCTGAAGGAAAGCCCCTACGGAAAGGCCTTGCGAAAGAGAATTTAGCCATATATCAAATTATCTCTTCCAGTATTGAAAAGAGTTCATTAAACTGAAAGATACGCAGAAATCAACAGCAGGATCTCACTCTCCTTGGTTTCTTCCCAGTTGTCCTCTCAGAGGGTAGGTTCCCTGAACTCCTGCGGGAGTGATGGTGGAGCCTTTCAGAAAGGCAGCGATATTTGGAGGGTGCATCTGCCTCTAGTGTTGTAAGATGTGTGTGAATGTTCTACTCAACAGCCTTGCTGTTTTCACCACTTGCGCCACAACCTTTGTAATTGAGCCCAGAAAGCTTGGTGGGGAATGAGAGAGCTCCTTGTGATCTTGTTTGCAAGACATACCGGGTGCATCTGAATGGCCTAGGAGCTGGGTGGCCTGCAGAAAGATGGAGAAAGTCCGCTCCTCCTCTGAAGGAACTTAATAACCACGGTCTTCCATGAGGGGGACTTACTGGTAAGTGTTCACTGATAAGGAGCCTGGAGTTAAAAATTCAAGAACCTGGCTGCAAAGAAAAATGATAAATTAGTGACAGTGGAAAAACAAAAATAAGATCCTAACATTAAGTCTTTCTGTTCTGAGTCTTGTTTTAGGAAAATGCCTCGGAGAAGTACCCATTCCTCTCCTGCATAACTAACTGGTCACAGATTTTGGGTGGATTCTGATTGACTTAGAACTACTTCCTATCACTGTTTCAGGGCTGACAAGGCT